ACTCCTAATGCCTAATTGCAAAAAGCCTAGAATCCCCACTGTAAACGGGCGACAATGCTTGAGACATCTCACTTGAAACTTCTCAACCTGTTGGCTAGTTCTGCTGAAAACCCGCTTATTGCGACGGGCCCGCGGCAAATTATAGCCACGGGACCCGTGGTCGTACCGCGTCCCATTCACTAATCCACTACATCCACTACATCCATTCCACTTCACGACAGCTTCAAATGGATCCACTTCACTGACGGGCTCCGTGGATTAAGGTCCATCCATTCTTCCACCGGCGGCGCCAGTGGGTTCAGTGGAGTGGATTGCAACTCTGCCTCCGGGTGGTCATCAATTCAATCTGGGGTGTCGATTGAGTTGAAGCAAGGGTGACACGGCTTGGTATATGGTACGTGCACGCCCGCACGGTTCACATGGTGATCTTTCGTCTACCAAAGGGGTGCGTTGATTGAATTGATGGCCACCCTGATGTAACTACCTGGGTTACCCCTGCTATTACTATGGATTGGGGTGTTTCCTGAGAGTCATGCAGTCCATCTCTCTAGCTACCCGACTGCTCGAATGACTCTTCAAAATTAAAGCATGAAGGATTGGCGGCTCGTTTGGGTGCGAGATAGGGACGTATAACTATGCAAAATATAGATTATGCACATATAACGTATTAGTGTGCGTGTACGTGCGAGGATAAATACCGCAAGCTGCCTATCAAATTATTGCCTTGCAATCCTATTATCGTGGAAGATCAGCCTGAGCTATCCTCTTCATTTATCCGTTAAAATAACCCCGTTTATCAGCAACCCAACTCGTATCTTTACAATGATACCGAAGATTGCTATTACACTAGCTATCGCGTTTTCTGCCACTTTAGCATCATCTGCAACTATTAAAAAGAGAGTTATTGGTGGAGAAGATGCTCAGGATGGTGAGATAAGATCTATCGTCAGTATTCTGAATGAGAACAGCACGCATGAATGCGGAGGTAGTTTGCTAGACAGCACTACTGTTCTTACTGCTGCTCATTGCATAAATGAAGACCAAATCCTGTCTGTGATGGCTGGAACAGTGGTAAATATACTTCTCACTTTTCAGTCTAGTACTTTAGTGCAGTTGATAGAATATTAAGTGGCATAAAGCTAATAATAGTGGCAGGACGTTGAGACCCGGGGCGGGGTAGAAGCAAAAGTTGCATCTTTTAGGAAGCATCCTAATTACACGCGGGATAAGAACAATGGAGGCCCTTGGGTAGAAAATGACATTGCTGTTTTGAAATTGTCAACTCCGATTGAGAAGAGCAATACCATTGACTATGCCACACTGCCTCCGGTCGGCTCGGATGCCATGGTTAATTCCACCGCGATAGCTGCAGGCTGGTAAGTACCATGGCTCAGCACTGTAACCTGTACAAACGTAGTAGGAAAGATGCTGATTTGCAAGACAGGGGCATACAAGCTCCTATACTTTCTTTGGAAGGCAACTTTATACCAGCTAAAAAACTTAGTAAGATTGTTCTTACTATTCGCGCACGCGAGGATTGCGCCAAGTACGACGACGGTGTAGGAGATAGAGACACTATTATATGCGCTGGTGGAATAGGCAAGAATTTGTGTCTGGGGGATAGTGGCAGCCCTCTTTTTGACCAGGAAACAGGACAGTTACTCGGTGTCATGTCAAGGGGTATCGAAGTGAGCGGGTCGTATTGCTACTTTGCTCCCGATGTGTTTTCCAGAGTTGGCAGCTACATCTCTTTCATTAACGAGAATCTTGAGAATTCTGTTACAGGCCAAGCCGCTTGAACGGCGGCTATGCCGCCTATCAGTGATAGGCTATCACCAACTCTCCCAGCGGGTTGATCCAAGAGCCTTCTGTGGAGGCGTATTGGGAAGATATAAGGCGCTGTTACTATGGCACGGAGTGTGTAGACTTTCCTTTCTTCTTTATCTTGATAGTAAACAGCATAGGGACTAGTTAGTTGAATCAACTCGCTAGAGGCCTTTCACAAACTCCGGTTTTGGTCCTAATCCTGATTCTCAGACGACAAATTACGCCAACAAACAACCCGCCCAATTGCCCAAGTTATTAGATAACAGCTTCAGCCTATCCGAACAAGCGCCAAAACTTGCCAAACACTTATGCAACAGCTTATAACGATCACAGATCTTAAAAACCGTATGGGGAGTGATGTAATTGAAGCATCAGAGTGTTTGAAGTCATGGTTTGGGATACGTGACTTTCAAAGTCCAATCTTTAGGCGCGGTAGTCAGGGTTGAAAGCCACTCCATTCAATCCACTGGGTGCTCGAGTG